TCTTAGTTACGAGTAAGTTAAGTAAATCAACAACAACAAATAAACTAGCCTGGTAATATGTAAAACAAGAAAACAACGTTTAATAATACATCCCCACTTGTTTGTTTCCTTTATCTGTATCTTCCATATGTTGTCGAGATGTGAAGGAATTGTGTCATACGATATTCAAAATTATATTTTTGCGTACTCAACATTGTGCTAGAGCCTAAAACGAAGCCCGAATTAAACAACAAGAAAACAAATGAATAAAATAAATAAAAACATTTTTCTTAATTCTTTAAATTTCCATATTTATTTATATTATAATTCAATTACCTAAATTCAATTCTTCAATTTTAATTCTATTTGGAATTTCATCGATCAAAGAAATATCACTTATTATATATTTATGATATTTCAGATTTATCTACATTCAGTCAATTAATGACTCAATAAATGAGTTATTCCATTACTCCATGGAATACTCATTTAGTGTAGAACACAATCAGGCGATCATTTAATCAATTATTCAATCAGTAAGTCAGGTAGTCCATCAATAAGTCAGTGAATAAATTATTAAATCAGTCCGTCAATCAATCAGTATAAGCAATCCCATGTGCAATTCGATGATATTTTCGATATTCAAAGTTAATCTGCATATCACTGAGCTAGGGGATGATTCACATCACCTGATAATGGAGGTGTGTATGGATGGGGTGGTTTGTGGCTAAAAAATAAGCGGCGAAGAGAACACTTTGAAGACGCGAATTATTCAAACTTCACGATGTTCGATGAAAACTCACCACTTGGTCTGTCGACTCGGGCACAAGTGCGCATGTCGAGGCCTTCATGGTTGAAACAGGGGCTGGGGCTCTGCCCATTGTGGGGGGGTGGGTTTACCCGATAAGAGTTACAAGAAAGGGAGCAGCGGTAGAGGGTGGCGCGTGTTACCATATGATAATGATATGCCTGTAGACCCTCACACATACAATAGCAATGAGAGGCCAGTGGTCGGGAGGTATGCGACTATTAGATACTTTATGTATATCGTAATGGTTTGTGAAAATACCTCTTATAGAAATTTAGAATATTTATAAGATTTATAAGTTGAATAGAAATAGTAATCTATTTCTGCTTTCTTTCCAAATTATATAAACCTAATTTCCAGATCAGTTCTTGATTGATGCTAAATTTGTAAATATTAATTTATAATCCCTAATGAATCATATTATCAACTGTCTTTACCTGGGTGTTACATAAATATACTCTGCTGATACTACCCCGTATACTCTGCGAAATTCCAATTGGTGGTGGAAAAAAAAGAAGAAACAAAGCATATAGAAACGTTCCAGCTGTGTGAAAATAGGGGTAGCTTTTACAAATTCAAATTGGAAAATCGAGCAGAACAGCAAAAGAACTCAGCGAGAGCGGTTGGGAATTACAGCCAAACAGCTGGAGAAGAAAATACAAAAATAAGGAAGGAACAAAGAGGAGGATAAAAGCTGCAAGCAATATAAATATTGACAAAATTGTAATTAAAATGTAAGGCAAGTGATAAAGTTTGGAAAGTGCAAAAACGCGTAGTTCCAATTGGAGCTGAATGAACGGCAAGGAAGTTCCGGAAGTCGCAAACAGAGAGAGACCAGGAGAAGCCCTGCACACCGAGTGGGCAATCCAGCAACTCCTACACACAGAGTGAGAGAGTGAGGGAGAGAGAGATAGAGGCAGACAACCCCCATAAACTTCAGTCTATATGATTATCGTTTTGCTATTGCTCTTCCAATCGCTGTGCCTCTTTTGCCAACGTTTGGTGCTCCGTATTCACGACCGATGCTTTCCCCGGAACGTCCGTGTGATCCAGGAGTTGGCCGAAACGGTGGGCGATCGTAAGGCACTGCAGCATCTCGAGAACCAGGAGCTGGAGCAAACGAAGCGAAAGCAAAAGCGTCGCCTCTTGGAGCCAATTCTGCCACTCGGAGCGGGTCTCAATCTGGAGGCTTGTCGCTTTTGTGCCCACAGTCCGCAAGGCTATTGTCGGCACCATTTCCACTTGCAGCTGCACACACAGAGGCGTGGCGACGAGCAGGACTACAAGCAGCAGCGCCGGATACGCAGAGAGTTGAAACGCAGCCTGGAGCCAAGGAGCACTTATCCCATCAACTATAGACAATATAGTCGAGGCAGCAGCAGCTCCTTGAGCAGCGGCTACGGCTCATTGGCATCCAATTTGCAAGAGGACACGTACAGCTATCTTCAGGAGCAGGAGGAGGAGCAAAAGCAATTGCAGGAAGAGCGGCAGGAGGGACCAGAGCTGGAATCGATTAATCACTTGATAACGAGTCATCTCTAGAGCAGATCCAACACAATAAGAGCTCTTTAGACACAAGCAGCGGCAAGACCTCATTGGCACTCAACTCATAAAAGACGGAGGCAAAGGCGTAGGATACTTCTCGACCACCTTAGATAAGGGCTCTCTTCAATGAGGGGAAGCAGCATGAGCATCTCAACTGACAATAGGGCCTAAGCTACTTCACATCAAATTGAAACCAGGTGTAGAAGGCGTTGACTTAGCTGGTAGACCATTGCGTCTTGAAAAAACTCTCGTCAAAATCAGGTAGGCTGCGTCTCGAGGAGGTCTATTGTTTACAAATTTGCTGTGAATCTTTTACGTTTGTCAATATTGACACCCAGCTGTAAGATCGATTATAAAAGTCTTTTGCGTAATGTCGAGCTTTGAATGGGAGCAACAACAACTGCAGCTGCAGGTTCAGCAGCCGTTGCGACGTCGACGACAACAGCACCAACACCAACACCAACACCAACACCAACACCAACACCAGCACCACCAACAGCACAACCAACAGCATCAGAACCGCTGTGAGTTTCTGATGCAGGAGAAGAACTCGGTACAGCACTCGCTAACGGAACTATCGTCCGGTCCCCTGGGGCATGGCACCGAGGACGATTGGACGTGGAGCAAGCGAAATCGGTCCAAGGAGGTGGTCCTCAGTGGACCCAACTTTCGCACAGTTCACTTCCATCCCAATTGGAGCAAGGGCACGGCTGGCATTCAGGGTAAACGACCCTTGAATAACGGCCGTTACTATTGGGAGCTGCACGTCTCCCAGCGAGTCTTCGGCACCTCGATCATGTTCGGCATCGGTACCAAAAACTGCCGGCTCCATGCCAACGCCTTTCGCAACATGCTCGGCGAGAACGAGCATGGGTGGGGACTGTCCCACAAGGGTGAGTACCCACTGAATTAAACAGGATCATCAAATATCTATATATACCATATCCCTTTCATCCATTTCGCCTGAAGGCGTTCTCTGGCACAAGGGCGTGGCACTTCTATATACAAAACGCTTCCGCGAAAATCATCCCACACAAATTGGCATTCTCTTCGATGGCATCGATGGCACATTAACCTACTATAAGGATGGCAAATGCCTGGGCGTGGCATTCAGAGATCTAGACAAGGTGAGCTAAGCACGATACAGTCGTCTAGTTGTCTTAGTTGGGATATTGATAATTCCCAGTTAATTCCAAAATATTTTCTATTATTTAAATAATATACATATATTGATATATTTCACTCTAGGTAACCGAACCTCTCTATCCCATTGTCTGCTCCACCGCAGCCAAAACGGAAATGACTCTTAAGTGCGCCCGCCAGGAGTTCGTCAATCTGCAGGATCGTTGTCGAGCGGTGATCATGCGAAGATTGCACACAATCGGCGATGTAGAGAAGCTGAAGCTGCCACAGTCCATCAGCGACTACCTGTGCGAGGTGATCGATGACAAGGAGCCATTGCGCCAGGTAGACAACTATGATATATTATGTGGTTTCTAGGGGTTAGATGATAATTGGCTAGGTCTTGGTCTATGCAAATAGTCTATATATATCTATGATAAGCTATGTTCCATAGGTGGATGAGGGGAAGATGTGCATGATCAACTATGATCTGATTTAGAATGAAGAATGACGAATGATGAATGACGAATGACGAATGACGAATGATAATGACAATGCCCGTGAAACTCGAACATATGTGCCATAATTTGAGGGCTCACTGTACAGCTGTACGATATACATACAATATATATGTTGTGGACAAATGCAAGTTGTTTCTATGCGCAAATCTCAAGTTTTAATGTCAGCAAGTTTTTGATACATACTATATATATATGTAAATATGTATATATCGGCATATATAAATATATATGTATATATATACATAATATCTGTATATTATATATTTTCGATAAATTTCATTGTTTTCTGTTCTGTTTTGTTTTGTTCCCTAGCTAAAATGTTTCCCAATGAATAGGCCAATTAGGTGCAATATTTGTGATATAAGTCAAAGGGCAGCAAGGAAAAGTAAATGAATAAAAATTAGAAATACTTAAAAACATTTATATATATATAGCTTAAATAACATAAGCTTTGATCTAAGTGAACCCCATAAATTATGTATAAAAAATGTATTTTTTGCTACGAGTGTGAAATCTAGTCAAAGAGAGAAAGCTGCACCCAAAACATTCTGTATAAATTATCGGCTAGTCAGCTTATTAATGTTAAGCAAATGTTTATAAATGATTATAAAAATTATGTATTAAGTAATTAATTCAGTTGCAAACTTTAACAAATTCTAGTCCAAATGTGCAAAAACCAAAATGAGATACAGCAAAAGTTCACTTAATAAGATAAATAGATACATCTAGATATACATATATCTATCCAGATATATATATAAATACCACTTAAGTGCGTGTATATGGAGATATATATATGCATATAAATATTAATAGAATTTTAAGAGCTTAAGTACTTAAACACAAAACAGACAAATAATTTAGTAAAAATTATTTTTATGTATTTTCATATTTGTAGCTTCTCATATACATATAAATATTTTTTTGGTGTCTATATAAATTACTACGATCGTGTGTAAAGTAAATTGAAAACTGTTAAATACAGGGGTATACATGTATATCTGAATTATGTATGCCACATGAATTAGTACATCAATTTAAATTTAACTAACTAAATGAATAAAAAATACAAAAATTCTAAGCACAGAGATTTCTCTAATTAAATTCGTAAAATAATCTTTTGTTCTTTTACAGTTCATCGGTAAGATGATGTATATTCTGTAAATGATCGCCATAATCGGTGGCCTCGCTGCCAACAAATGTATCGTAGTTATTCAGAATTTCCAGATAGGACAAACGATCGTCGTGATCTTCATCCGTGGAGACAAACAAATGATCTACCTCATCATCCGCGATGGCCGTATTGCTGGGCACAATCCATGAGAGCACCTGAAACCATTTTAGAAGCGCATTAATTTTATGGAGCTACAATATCTGTCCATCTAGTAAATGACCTCAGATTGAACTGTACCCTATATGCCTATTTGTCTATCTGTGATTCAGACATCAATACTCAAACAATTCTGCACTACATATTCTATATAGTTTACCCTTAAGTCTGTCTTTGATTGTGAACAAAATTTAACGAAATCTCTTTACTACTCCAATCAATATCTTCATCAATCCTCATTCCTTATCAATCATATCACCTCATTGCCAGTCAGAGCTCCATCGCCATTTGTATCGTAATCCTTATCAAATCGATCCTTCTCCGCTATTAACCACTCCTTGTCGTGATGCGTGGCTGCCTGGCCGACAAACTCTTGGAATTCAATTTTGCCATCATGATTCAGATCCTTGTCCTGCATCGTATGCTCCAGCAGAATGGGCAACATTTGTGGATGCTCTTCAGGATTTTGGAAAAGAACATATTCCTCCTGATTCAGCACACCATCCTTGTTCGTGTCGGCTGCATGGAACATTTCCTTATCCTGTTTGATCATCTTCTGCTCCTCCTCATAGCTATCGAAGTCAATGAGCTCCTTCTTGAAGTTCTCATCCTCCATGGAATAGGTGTCCTGCAAGTACTCCTTCCATGTAATTTTATCATCCAAATCTTGATCAATTTCCTCAAAACGATCCGCCGCTTCCTCCTCTGAGAGTTTCCTATGCAATAAATTTAATATTAATATATTATTCTATACAAATTAATAATAAATTTCTACACAATTATTAAGGATAGATTTTCACATCACATCGATCATGCTTAGGCTTCAGCTTTGGGTTAGCTTTTAAGCGTTTGGTTAATCAACAAACAACACTCACTTAAAGGACCTTAAAATCCAAGCTTTCAATTCATGACGATCAATATATTCATCATTATTCAAGTCCATCATCTTGATGAGTATGGCCAGACGTCGCTTCGATTCTTCCGGCGAGAGGGTATCAAATTCTTGCGCCTCTTTTGTATTGCCTGCAAATGCAAATAGGAATATATGAAATATATTTATGTATATGCTTTAGGAAGCAGTCTAATTAATTCACAAAACGCATAAAACGTGCGCACACAAAAAGTCTAAAATATTAAAAAACAATTGCGATATAATGAGGCCTGTCCGACTAGGAGATACCCTGAAGCCAACGCAGAGCTGCAAGTTCAAGCACTCGACGCTTGTGGCTTATTAGACGGCTAGATAGACTAATCTGTTTCGACCCAGTGTCCTGATTAAGAATATATATATATAATATATACAGCTTATAGAGTTCGTCGAGCTTATACATTTGCAGTAAACAATATACCCTGAATTCCATTTTCAATGGGTGCATATAATATAAATAAAAAGTTTCTGGATTCCCAATGTACTGTGAAGTAAACTTTTAATGACCTATAGAGAATGTTCTCACAAAAGAGCTACCCTGTAGCCAAACTCTACTTATTGATGGTTACAGACTACTCTCTTCCTTATGGGAACAGAGCCTGAACATATTAAACATATAAACAATAAACACTTGGCCTTTATTATGCCTCTCCGAATGGACTTGACACCGCTGCAGGGTATAGACAAAATAATCATAATTAAAGGGAGAGAAATCATTTAATACATATACTATATATGTATATAAGATGTAGAGTACGTTTTAAAACTACCATCTATAATGCCCGCACACATTTTAATCGCATACAGGGTATGAAAATATGAAACATAATTTATTGCGCCAAATATAAATACTTTGCTGGACTAACAGTTACCCTTCAGTATACAATTACGATTGTTGCAAGGTATACATATTTTCACAAAATAAACTCAAACCAATATAAGTGTGTCTACCATGTAGCTAGCCCAGTTCCTCTCCATTGATATGCTTAGCACAATTTCACCATATCCTATCAAACCACACTCTACACACTTTTTAATGACTACAGGGTATACACATATTCCTCATATAAACAACTGTTTGTGCGTGCTATAAACAAAACATTAGTCGGCATTGAGGTTTCTTGTGCGTTTACCCACCTATGATGGCCTCATGATCAAACTCCACATTGTGTTCGCCCTGATCATTGTGATGATGCGCATCCCTGGGCACATAGCTGCCGTCCTTTACCCGTTCCTTGCTCAGATGCTTCTCGTGCTTGTGACTGTTGGCAACGGCGCCATTGGCGGGCATAGGTCCAACCAGAGCCAAAGCTCCAATGATGCACAGCAGAATTGGCAAACATGTTAAACGGGCCATTGTGCTTGGATATACCCTGCACATACACACACACGCACAGACTATGGCACGGACAGTTGCGACGACTTGATTATATGGCAATCCTCCGTCTGTTGCTTCTTGTTTGCTCGCCAGACGCACACTGAGAGATTATTTGTTTGCCTTCTTGCTCTTGGAGGCTGGGAGCGTTACAGACACACATACACCCAGCTCACACACGCATACACACTCTGGCAGCTGCTTCTGTTTTGTATAGCACTTGAGAGTCTAAACGATTGCCGACTCACGTAATAGCCAAAAAGTCAATTCTATGAACTCTAATGAACCCGATCAATGGGCTTTGCGTAACCTGAAATACACAAATATATACATAAACATATTTTATTCATACACTACAAGCAATTTTCATTTCAGCTTACCAGCTGTTCGTCCTATTCACACATACTGGCTTTTCAATTGAATGTGATAGGCACTTTTTTATTAAACATTGCATCTATTTGACTCGGCACTTTGAATATACACATTATTTTATAGTATTTACAAACAATTTTAAAGAAACATTATTTACTTCTCTGGTCAGTGCTTCCAGCAAACCCCCGTCAAAATCAATCGCAACACTTAGCGGCGTTTATCGCACAGCCAACACTTTATCGATATATCGCTGCAGTTGTTAGTGGCATTAGCAACTATCGCATATCGGCGGAACTGTACATCTCTAGCTATTGTTATTGCAAAATAATATTTTTTCGCCAACTACGACCGTAATGCAAAACTAAACATAAATTAAACATAAAATCAAATAAAAATTAAAGTGCAAAAGCTTAACACAGAAGTTAAACAAATATCGTACACATAAAGTGGCATGCTTATAAGGTGAGTTGACTAAATAAAAAGGTCGGTAAAAAAGGCGCACCTGAATGGGCGAGAAACTGGAAACAAAAGTTTAGTAAATAATATCAAATGACATCATTGACAGCACCCAATTTGTTGTGTTCAAGCGCCTCCTAACAGCAGTTGTGTTTATGACTCTTGGGTGTATATTTATTAATTTTTTTTTTGTGTGCGCACAAAACACGCAAAAGGACTGAATGTGAGGCAATCGAAAGGGTGCGATTGTATTGTGTGAGTTAGAGGGATATTTTTAATGGTGCAATTTGGAATCCGGCTTCGGCGTAGGAGTTGTTGACCGGCACTATTTTTGGTTGACGACCAAATATATACACCTACACTGGTGTTGCCAGCGTAATTATAGCTCATGGAGTTGTGAATTGCCAAACATGCAACTGGTCAACAAATATACGTATGTATATATGTGCATATGTGTGTGTGATTGTGTAGACTTATCCTTACAAGAGCGCGCTTTTACTCAGTCTACAAATTAGAGATGGGCAAGTTTAGAAACTTATTGTTACATATGCAATATTGCAATTGTGACTTAAATCAAAGCGAAATTGTGTAAACTCTAAAATTCGTAGTTTGAATTGCATCGTTTTTCTTTTTTTTACTTGGTCTTCATTTAACTTTATTATAGACTCTTAGTTATTATAATAATAATCCAAAGTCGTGCTTGCTTGCTTTGCTTAAAGCCAATCACGACACGCTCTCAACTCGAGTGGAGAGTTTTATCTATCAGTTGTTCATAGCTCACGCTCATGTGAGTTAATCCAATATAGTTTGCTAACCGTTGCAGATAAAGAGAGTGGTGTACCAGAGAGCAACGCAACGTAACGCAACGGCAGACACATTAATAACAAACAAAAACAAACAAATAAGCAACAACAGCAACAAATAAAAACTACTTCAGTACGGAAAAACCTGAAAGCTTGCAAACAAAATTTAGTCGTAAGCCAACCTTCGGTCAGCGTAGCAGTTAGCTTTCGTCGTGCAGCAATAATTATTTGATTTTTGTTGTTATCCAGTTTGAACCGGTTTACAACGCAGCGACACCGCCCGCGCTAATTAATAGCTAAAGTAAATCCGTAAAAAAAAAGAACAATAAAATATACCAAATGCCGTACATTATCATACGCGGCAATCTAGCCTCTTATAGTCATAAATATCCATGGCGTGTGCTCGTATCTGGACTGAAAGGTAAATCATCAGTATAGACTGCTCTCACTCTATCTGCCTCTCCTTCCACTTTTCTTTCTCATTTCGCAATTAGTTTGTATTAGATTTTAACAGTTGATTTTCTATGCGTATGCATGCATTTGTTGCCAACCAATATTTGGGGGCCAACTTAATTTGCTGAATTGCGTCTTCATTATTTATTTTTCTTTTTGTTTGCCATTGTTTCTGTCTTATTGCGCGACACAAATTATATGAAGTGTGCTTCGTCACGTTTTCACAGACACACTCAGGCACACACACACACATACACTAGAAACACTTGTGCATAAACTCACGCCCACAAGTCTGGTTTAGTTTTTTTCCCTTTGTATTCGGCTATTCCACTTTACACTACCAACTAATTTTTGAATGAGCTCGTCCTTGAGTGTCTGAGTGTCCTTATATATTTGCCGTTGGCTATGGGTGTCTGCTGTTGTGAGTGCTGTCCATCTTTACAGTGGCATCCTCAAGCATTAGTGCTTGCACTGTCATATCACTTCAAATGATGTGCTTTTGTTGCTTTCGCTTTTCAGCGTACTTTGTTTATTTTTGCCGTAGTATATTGAACGGATTTATGGCCTTGTAAACAAAACATAACTGTATTAGTTTTAAGCAGTACACCCGCACAAAATGAATTTCGATTTATAATCTTGTTTACTCATTTTTGTGTATACCCTGTAAATTTCGAATATTGAAGAAAGGGTATACATGTTTCCTAGTGAAGTTTCCAATTTGAGTTTTTTCGGACCTCAAATTTTTTGAAGCTTTTATTTAATATTCGCATAGTTTAAAATTAATGTTTTAGGCATGCTAAATGCCACTGCTTTTTCGTTAGCAATTCAAATGAAAACAGGTTTGGCACCATAACGAACATGAAGTCATAGTTAGAGTATTCGTGAATTAGCATGAGCTATTAGCACCAACTGTGCTCAGCACTCTCTTGCTCTCCGCTCTCCACTCTCTTTTGCACTCTCCCACTCGTTGATTCGCTCTCCATTAATTGTATTTTCTGTCGCACATTCGAGCCGTCAGTTTCGTTTTGTTTCGCACTGAGTGCAGTTGAATTACGCCTTGCATGGTGAGCTAAGCACAAATACACACACACGCACTCAGATATACATATATATTAAAAGAGTTTATATTTAAAAAGTATATATTTTGGAAAAGTCAATGCACCTATAGAATTTTCTTTAAACATACTGATACGTGCTAGACTTGAGTTGAAAGAAAAACGGCACTTATTCGGTCGGTTCAAAGTTATTGCTTAATTAGCACTCACACAGCCACAGAAACACACACACACATACACACAGGCAGAGCGTTGAGGCCAGTTACTGACGTCATGCCGCTGGCGCTTTAAGCATTTTGGATTGTTGTTATTATCTTTGTTCAGCGCTTGTCATATTACCCTTCTGTATAAACACCCCAATTTAAACAGTTTTAATGTATATAGACATGCTCATATGTAGATATTCACATATATATACATATATACAACATTCTGATAAGCTTCGACTTTCTCAGCTGACGACATCGAACAGTTAAACAAGTTCTCCTGCGGCGGCTACAGCGATGAGTCCACAATCGTATATCTAGTCCATCCGTGTCGCATATTATCAGCTTTAGAGGTATAGTAAACACATGTTACAGTGAAAGCTCTGTTATACATGGCAAGGAAAATTTTAGATAAATCATAAACCGGGATAGTACAGTAAAACTAATTTCAAAAATATCTATAAACAAGTAAGAAAGCTCTAGTCGAGACTGCTCGACTACGAGATCCCCTGAACCCTTGGAGCAATAGATATTTCAATAATTTTTCGCGTCTTTCAGCTTACACAAGAAACACGCACACACACACACACAGGCACGTACGCACACACAGGCATACATACACACACACGCATACAGACACACATACACACACACATACGCATACATACACAAACGCATACACACACACATACACATACACACACACATACACAAACACATACACACACATACACAAACACATACACACACANAATATCATAATTTTTTCTTTTACTCTAATCGGAATTCAATTATTTTTTTAATATTTCTTTTAAAAAAATTGTTTTTTTATTATTATTATTTGTTCTTAATAGAGCAGTTCGTTAGTCGGAGCTTTCACTGTAACTTTTTGGCATTTAAGTTCAAAGAATAGAACAAAATTTTGTGTTGCAGATTTTGGGTTTTCGCGTTGTGGCCAGTTCATCGACAGCCGTTAAGCAGGACTATAACGAATATATGTGGACGATGCGCAAGGAGTTCGTCGAGCCTGAACCTGAATCCGAAACCGTATCCGTAGTCCGTGAGAATTTGTCCAATATAGGCAGAGAGGCGGCCAGTTTAGGCAATTATCATAAAGTCGATTCCCCAGAGTAAAACTCTCCCCCTCTCTGTGTGTGTATGTGTGTGTGTAAGTGTGTGTGCGTGTGTATATGTGTGTAAAGAAACTATAGCAACATCAAAAAAAACTTCTGACAGCCTATCCAATAGATATATATATATACATATATATTTAAAAGCAAAGTATGACCGATAATCAGGCGGGGCCAGTGGCGAAGGAATCGACAACCAACTGCGAATGCCCACAGCAGGTGCCATCGACAACATCCACTGGTGCTGCTGTGCCACCCAGTTGCCCGACCAATGTTGTGACCATACCCGTGCCCATTCTACAATCGGAGGGCAACTTCGCTTACGTCACCGTCAAGGGTTCACTGCATGATTACACCTGTACCGTGTTTGGCTTGAATCAGGCTGAGGTGCAAGCCCTGTCGAATCGTCTGTCCGTTAAGCCGTGTGTTAATGGCGTCCTAGTCGCTGTACCGCCCATGGTTATGTTGAATACTTTAGCCCAACTAAGCTATAAGGTAGTTTGTAGCTGCGGCGAAGCGGAAATCTGTTGGACAATGCAGCGCGAGGTCTAACGAAGTTGGAAAGTTTGATTCAAAGCACATTAAGAAAACCTCAGTCAAAATACCGATCATCAATCAACCAATCATCAACTCATCTTTATCAAATCAAGAAATATGGATCAGCATAGCGCAGACAATTGCAAGTGCCACAAGCATACGCAGCCGGCACAGCAGACGCTCAGCGACATGGATTTCGATCGGGGCATTTGGAATGCGGGTGAGTCAAAATATTTCACTGTTCAACTATTTTACGTAAGCAGTTCAAATTAATTTTAAGTAGAATCACAAAATTCATTTCAATATATGCCTGATTTGGATATACATATATACATGAGAGTGAATTAGTCAGAGGTAGGGCAAGGAGAGAACCCAAGAGTTGCATCTTGGGTTAGAGTTTTGGCTTTATAACTTCTGTTTTCTGCTATCTCTTGTTACAGATAGGCATCTGTAGCTATTTTTTCACATATATCACTCCCTTTCTCTCCCCCTCCTCTCAGTTGCTCATTGCCTCATTATACGTACGATTCTTTCGTTGACCAGGTTTAGATATGACACTAGAATTATCTGCTGTCTCTGTGTCCACTATCTTATCTAGATTTTTATCATACCTTTCATTATCATTAGAGCTATCGATCAAACATTAATATCTTCTGTATACATTTGCACTGCCTTTTTATATAGACCCATCATATAATGTGTTGACCAAGAGTCATGATTTATATATTTATTGTCTCCAAAGTGAATTCTGATTTCTTGTATATCTTTCTTCTTTCATGAGAAATAAAACCATAAAATGGATATGCCTACTAGATTTCCTAGATACACGAAAAATCATTAGTAATAATGATATTATTAGCGTTCCCTGCACCTTCCTTATTAAATTTCCACTATCCATTATAGTATTAGAATATTCTCTATAATTACTATTCTATTAAAATACCAGTATTTCGGCTATTGATTGCTCTAAGTTGCTCAGCTCTTAAATATTTTATATCCGATATCCTTCTTCTCATTTAGCCATCTACAACGAAGTGGATCGTGTGCGAGAGTTCATCCGGAAGGGTAAGGCAATGGCGCGCGATAATTGCGACTACACTGCCCTACACTATGCAGCACGCAATGGAAACGAAGAGATTTGCAAGCTGCTGTTGGAGGAGGGCAAAGCGGATGTGAATGCGGTGACAAAGGCGGGTGCCACGCCACTGCATCGAGCGGCCATGATGGGTAATATAGCTCTACATATAATATAGGCAATATATACATATATATGCTAAATACGTCTCCTATTGATAGGTCATATGAACATTGTAAAGCTGCTGGCAGAGCAGCCGAAGGCGAACCTTTTGCTGCAGGATGAGTGCGGGCAGAGCGCGTTGCATCGCGCCGCATTGCGCGGCCAATTGGAGGTGTGTCGCTACCTGTTGCAGCAGCAGCCAGCGCTGAAGCTGCTCAAGGACAAAAAGGATAAAATCGCCTTTGAGTATATCATGGAGAATGCCAACGACGATTTTAAGCTGCTGCTAAAGCCCTAAGCCCCAAGGCGACCGAAGCCACAAGCCTGAAGAACAATGTAATTGGTGGAGTAGTCAACTTTGTAGCTCTATATATAAGTGCCCCAAATTGTTATGGTAATTGTTATCATATCTTTTATAGGAATATATCTATCTTTCTATACATATATATGTCTATATATATAAATATGACAGTTAGTTCCATCTTATAGTGTTTTGTATGTATGTGTTTTTTTTTTCCTGTAATGTGTAAGCACAAAAAAGTTGGACACGAAAGAAAAACTCAATTCATAATTTATAATTTTCACAAATCTATATATATATACAAATATGTGTGTGTATATATATATGCAACAATTGTAACTTTCGAAAGTGTCTAAAAAGTTAATGTAAAGAGCAAAAAGTGTTTGATCGCAAATCTATATCGTGTGTGTTTCTATATATAGATGAATATATATATTTATGTGCCTACACACTAAAAGTAAATACCCTAAACTTTTGCATACACTACACTAACGGGCGATATACAAACATTACATACCTACGCTAAAACATATTCTATATATTTATAAATATAAATAACTTAAATAAATACTGCAAATTGCACAAGATTCTCGATGTTAATCCCACGACTCGGCTGACCGTATTATTTGACTAGTTAAGTGGGCTCCTCGCATGGCCGGCACATCCGAGAACTCGCTGAGGTATCGCTTCAGGGTTTGCGGCATGCACAGCTCCTCGTCCACAATGCGCGCCAGAGTGGAGCTCTCACCCGTTGGGGGATACTTGGCATGGAGCTGGAAGTCGGCCTGGAGCGTTCGCAGCAGTTGTTGGCGTATCACCTGGCGGGCGAGCGACTGCAGCGAATGGGGCTGTGTGCTCAGCTGACGCAGGCTCTGGTCAAAGGCCAAGCGAGTGGGCGTGGCTCGCTGGGAGCTATCACTCGTTTCGGTGGGCGGGGAGAACTTGAAACCAACGTGTCCTGGAAAAGAGGAAAGCAGAGGAACTTATAAATAGGAAGCGTTTCAATCTGAGATGTGACTAGAAAAGGGACGAGTTGATAGCAAATGGAGAGTGAGAACACAAATGGAAACAGACCAAGCTGGACTATTCAACAGGTGAAGTACAAATGGAATTGGAACATACCTAAGAGTTCCGCAAATGCCAAGCTCTGCGAATTGCCATTGGACCGGAGCTCGTTGAGCACATGTTCGCTCGAGATCTGAGAGAGATTGCAGCCCTCTCGCAGCAGCAGCTGAGCTATGTCCAGGCGCTGCAGGCTGATGGCGCGAGCCAATGGCGTTTCGCTGTAGACGAAGCCGCAGACGACAGTGGGCGGCTGGAAGCTGTACAGATCCCTGCGAGCGCTGGGCAGCTTGGCGAGAAGAACGCGCAGAATTTGACGGAAGGCGGACAACTGCTCGATTTGCTGCACCGCGAAGAGGAGCAGGCCCACGTCCTGGGCATCCGTGTAGAGCCCGAGGAGTCGCTGCTGATTCGCCTGATCCAGAAGGAATTCGAGCATCTCCGGCAACTGTTGGTGTATGGCACGCATGACGGGAGTCAGATTATCGCTGTCCCTGACACTCAGGCTCTCGCCGTGCTGCAGCAGCAGCTCGACCATGGCCCGGTCCTCGGCGTCCGGACCGAGGCAATGGTGCAGCAGATGGTGAGCCGGCAGACGTCGTGCGCCACGCTCCAGCAGAAGTTTCGCCAGCTGCCGATGCCGGCCGATGACTGCGAAATAGAGTGCCGTATATCCCTCCTTATCCTGCAGATTGACGCGTGCGCCGCGCTCGATCAGCTCCTGGGCCAACTCAAGCTGGTTGCAGGCGACGGCCAGCATAAGGGGCGTCTCGCCCTCGTCGTCCGTCTCATTGAAATTGACGTTCGTCTGGAGCAGCAGGCGAGCCGCTTCAGTGCATCGATTCTCGATGGCCAGGTGCAGAGCCGTCTTCCCGTCGCTCAGCGTCTTCGAGTTGACCAAAGCCCCGTGCTGGATCAGCTGGCGAGTGACCTCCGCATTGCCGGCGCCCACGTGCAGCGGCGTATATCCCTCGCTGTTGACCACGTTGATGGGCGCCTGGTGCTTGAGCAGCACGGCGACGCACTCCACGTGGCCCCAGGCGGCGGCATAGTGCAGCGGCGTCACCAGGTCCGCGTCGTAGATATGTGGATCCTGTTGACGGCAACTGGCACAGCACTGGGTCAGGAACTCTCCAGTGTTCTCAAAGGTCTTCGCATAGTAGTGATATAATTGCGAGTCCTCGCCTGCCACGCCTCCACCACCATCGCCCACGCCTCCCTCTGTATTCTCTGAGCTCCAGCTTTCGCCTTCGAACTCGTCCACCCATTCCAGCTTCTCCATACCCTCGGGCGTAATGTCTATCTCCAGTGCATCGGCATGAGCTGCAAGGGGAAGACGGAAATTAATTTTTAAAATTTCTATTTATAATCATTCATTAAAGGATAAGCAATTTTTAAATTACCCATATTTAACAATGAATAACAATTGTTTTAAATATTTTAATTCAAACTTGTATCAATGCTTAAGAAACTTAAAAAAAAGAAAGAACAATCTCTTAATTCTGGGTATGATATGTGCAAAGCTAACTAATTGTAATTAATTATGCCAAATTATTATTTATTGTAATGTATTTATTAGAAAATTATTAATGTCGACTCTCGTTATTTCGAAATTCAAGAAACTCGTAAAATATTAGGAATTATCGAATGTTTGAAATATTAAATGGTTCGAAATATTGAGAGAAAAAGAATAAAAACTTCAAATTAAGCGTTTGTATTTAAATGCTGATATTTTACATATTCGTAACGTACTAATTTTCAAATTAATTAATATTTGAAAAGAACTCATTTTTACGGATTTGCTTCGAAACACATTGCTGCTGAGAAGGCTTTTCAATAATTGTTTTAAGGAGAAAACGTCCTGATTTGCCGTTTCATCAGTTTCGTTTTGTAGATAATAGTTTTGGAGGTTATGCGTAACACGCACAATAAGGAAAGGTAGATCCAGAGGAGTCCAAATTCAAATTCAAAGCTCTTACCAACTGTTAGAGATGTTGGGTTAACATTGGCGATGCAATGCCAGCGAAAGTAAAGAGGTTCTGGTTCGATTAAATATTAAAAGAGTTGACAATATAAACGGGATAAAAAGTCAGTTACACTTTTTGTATGGGGCTGTCAGATTGCATATTTGCTTATGTTAATGTACTAATCAGAGACACTGCCAGAGAACAGTGTGGTCAGTGTGTTAATGCTACTTCTATGACATTTTCAACACTAACACGCCAAGAACTTTCGAAAATTTGAATTGTCGATGTTTTTCTTAGCAATGATTTTTAAGTTCGAATTACTGAGTGCATAACAATGTATGGGAATAATTCGAAATATAAATAGATTCTGTAGGTGACTCGAGATCACTTTGAATTAATGAGAGTTTCGAAATATCGCAGGTTTAAAATAACGAGCGTCGACATATAATTTCTCGTAAAAATACATAATAAATAAATAATCAATTTACTCGATACACTGTTTTCTGTTCATAATTTGTTTGACACAAACTGGAGCTATTCTATTTTGAATTAAAAAAAAAATTGTATTATTTCAGTACTTCAATTTTTCAATTGTATTTCCCTCACCTAGCAGCTTTGACACGTGAACGTTCGACTACCTGATCGCCTACTAAAAGTCAAAAGAAAAACGAGATGGCCAAACAAGTGCATTTTTCATTGCGTTTTCAGCTGACTTATCTTCAGCTGCACCTTCAGTCGGTTCTCTCTGACCTCAAAGAACCCCCTCTCTGTCTATTCTCCCATTCTAGCTAGTTTTTGTTGTTCTTTATTTACGTTTCTCTTTTTCAGTTTTCAAAATGCATTTGGGTCACTGACATCGGCTGCACTGTAAGAAAACTATAGGTGTGATTGGGATAGACAAAATTTCACAAAACTTGGAAAATTCAGGGAAAATTCGGAATATTTTAAAACGTATCTCAATTATTTTCCAGGAAATATTTGCTTGTTTTTCTCTGAGTGTGCACAGTGTACGAATGGTAAATATATTATGAAGGCCGCCGTATCAGCAACAGCCCTTATCATTTCAAGTTTGGTTAGCCCACATAATCAAGCTAGTTTTTTTTAAAACTATCTCACTCTGAAATAGATTTTCAATACTAAAAATGTAAATGTTTAAAGATATAATTTTCTTTAAACAGAAAAGAAACTTAAAAAATAATATATATACAGAATGATATACTTATATCCATTCTTAATATTTTAAAATATGTATACATATGAAAAGAAATATATAAAAGGTCTTTAGAAAAATGTAAAACTTTCTTATAGCCAAAAAGAAAATGTAACGAAATATATGAAATGTATAAAAATATGCCGACCAAGAATTTAGAAAATGGGAAAACAAGTTTGGAGAGCTACCCCTTAATTGATTTTCTGCGACCAGCTGTTGCCCGTTAATGCCAAAGGCTTTGTGTCTGCAACTTGAACTTACCTTGATGATAAACATTTAGTTGTGGCTCCTCGCAGGATTGGACTAGCAGCTCGAGAAGCTCGGCATCGCCCAGTAGGGCGGCGGTGCCCACAGCAGTGCGCCCACATGTGGCCGAGACGTAGGTGGCCTGGGCGCCTTCCAGAATGCAATCTAGGGCCTGACCAAAGTCGCCGCTGTGGACGGCGCTCATCAAACGCTCGTTGAGATCGTAGGAAAGCATCTTCTCATTTGTCCAGAGAAATAACAAGCAAACCAATCGAAGCGGTTGCAAATGGTAAATAGAAATAAAATTTAATGTGGAAACACTGCACGGAAAAGCAGACGAAAGGAGACTGAAAAGAAACAACGGGGCAGACCACAGAGCTGACCAAATGAAGGAAGAAAAATTACCACCCCCAATCATGAAGAGCGTGAGGGAGAGCCAAAAACAAAGAGAGTACCATAGAGATGCGAGTTCCCTCAACTGTGCTTTGCTGCATTTACAATCAACCAATCAGAACAAAGAGCGACCTAAACACAAAGAGAGTAGAATATTAGAGATGACACTTCGTCCAGCTATGAATTGCATTTACACACAGCTATACCTAGCGGGATGTATAGTGATATCTAATTCTAAACTACATTAATATTAAGAATACCTTCCATCCTTTTTTCTAGATAATTAAACCTTTTTCTAGATAATCGAACCTTATTTTCTAGACATAGATTTGAAAATGCTACATTTTAGCTTTTTAAATGTTGTTGATCTGGCCTTTTCGCAGCCTGAAAAGCTACCTATCGCACAAAGAGAGCGTTATATATACATAATAAGAGCATTCCGTATGTGGCATAAAGAGTTCGCTCAGCTGTGCCTTGTATTTACACACAGCTGAAAATTGTTTGGGCTTTATTTTTTGTTGCCGCTATACAGACAAAGACTCGATTTGTAACATAAACTAAACTATTTGATCTCCTTGGTTTCCTTGGCGTTCTGCAGCGATTCGGTGATGAAAAGTTTAGCCAGCGATTGAGAGCAAAATTGTGCAATGTGCTGGGCATGCGTATTGATTTGACCAGATGTAATCGTGGCCGTTAACCTAGCCGGCACAGGCATGGGTCGGAATTGTTTGATGACCTCCTCCTCGGGCACTGTAGGCTCGCCCTTCGAAGTGCGCACAGCATTCTCAGCAGCCAGCTTAGCCAGAGCACGATGTTTCTCCTGGTGAACGAGAAAAAAGTTAATATAAGCTAATAAACTGCAAAAAGGCAACCGCTTACCGTGTCCTGTTTGAAGACCACCTGCTGGTACTTATTGTAGCGCACAGCTTCCTGGTAGAGTTCGTCCACGCGTTCGATTAGGCTGCGCATGTGGTTCTCCAGCACCGAGGCGGTACCCAGGTCCAGGAAGTTGTGTCCCTTGTCTTCCGGCAGCAGCTCATTTAGTTCGCTCATCATAATGTTGGTCAACGGAGAGTTCTTGATGACAATTGGGATCTCGGCGAAGAGACTCTCGTAGCCCACTTTCAGGGTGCGGAATGCCTCGGGTGTGAAGTCGCCATCCTTATACATTTGTATGGCCTGCGGGGTCAGACGATAGGCCTTCAAGCAGAGGAAGCCGCGCGAAGACTTCTGTGTGTCGTAGACAACCACGACAGATTCCTCAATGCTGGTCTGGTAGTGATACTGCGATTCGAGCAGGGCCAGAGACAGGCTGTTGCCCACATCAGAGCTCTGATACCAACCCACATGCAAGTGGTCGACATTGACGCGGCGCAGACGACGCATCACAGTCAGCTGGTACATCTCCTCGTCCATGGTCTCGTCTCCGCTCTTGGGAAAGGGAAAGCAGTTCGTGATTTCCAGGCACTTGTCCACAACCAGGCCAAGAAGGGCGCCCTGGGCCAAATCCATATTGCTCGACTCCTCATGGCAATGTTTAATCATTTTCATTACGGCCTAAAAAGAGAACATGTTTAATTATATTTAAAAAGTGGAAATGTAGGCGGGTGCTCTCTTTCTCTCCATAAAACGCAAATTGCAATCAAGGCGGCAGCGTTCGCTCTCTCAGCCTGTGTCTCTTACACACACATATTCACGCACACAAATAAACAGCAGGCGCAGCGCGTGGCACTGCCATGACTTTTTTTACGCCTTTCTACTGCACTGATCTTAAGCCTTGCACTTGCCACGTTCAGTTTAGTCTAGATTTAACTTACCAGACCATCGCATTGTACATAATTGATGGTATTTTCTGAATCCTCATTGCGAGCATGACGACCACCGCGGTTTGCCATTTTGACGACGACGAAGAAGAAAAGGCTTGAAGTTGGCTGCACACGCACACACACTAAGAGGAAAATAAAGCTGTACAATGCCCGACTATATCGAGCAATTTTGCAACACTGTCACCGAACAGCTGTTTAGCCGACTATGATAGCAATATAAATAGAAGGAAAAAAAATTGTTTATCTCAAAATAGTATAAGAAAATAAAATTGTTAGCGTGTCAGACTTCAAAAGCAAACAAGCAAAATACAGTTGCATGAGCTGAACAGCAGAAACAGTCTTCACCAGCAGCTCACAAAATGACGACGAATTGGCGTGAATTGTTTCCCACAAAATTGACCTTTATTATATTTCTGCTGTATATGTCATTATTTATTGGTCAAGGTGAGTGCATACATTTAGTTGTAAATTATTATAATCACTACAATATCACCTCGTAGGCATTTTTGTGACGGCATCGCAGGACTCGAACAATTCTTATAGCTATAATACAGTGACAGTGGTGCTGCTGACGGAAGTTTTTAAGTTAATTGTTTCAACCTGCCTCTATTGCAAAGAGTAAGTGTGAAACATATTTCTGAGTAATTTACTAATTGGTATTTTTATGTTTTCACAGCAAGAGTCTTCGGTCGCTGGTACGCGATGTGCACAAAGACCGCAGTGTATTGGGGCTCTATATGGTGCCAGCGTTCCTCTACTGCTTATACAATAATTTGGCTTTTTTGAATCTCGCGACATTTGATCCGACTACGTATTACCTTTTGCTCCAATTACGAGTGGTTGTCACAGGCATACTCTTCCAAATCATATTCAAGAAGTATTTATCACAGCGGCAGTGGATATCATTAATCCTACTAACCCTGGGCTGCATGCTAAAGCAGGTGGATTTGAATCGGTTCTACAATGATGCAAATGACGATAGCGAAGCAGTCGCCCTGCAGGGGGTGAGCTCTGTGAATGCCACGCAAACGAATTCCAAGGCAAACGGCAAAAATATGGCGGGCTTCGACCTTAGCATAAACGCCATTTTCATCCTAGCCCAGACGATCTGCTCCTGCCTGGCCGGCGTCTACAACGAATACCTTCTGAAGGACAAGGGCGCAGATGTCAACATTTTCGTACAGAATATATTTATGTACATGGACTCAATCGTTTGCAATGCATTGATATTGCTGTTCAGAGGCGAATTGCTGGACGCATTCAGTGCGAAGAACCTGAGCAGCATTGCGCGATTCGGTGTGATGATTATTATTATCAACAATGCTGCCATAGGCATTGTAACAAGCTTCTTTTTGAAGTACATGAACTCAATACTTAAGACATTTGCCAGCGCCCTGGAGCTGATGTTTACGGCTGTGCTCTGCTATTTCCTGTTCGCAATTCCCATCTATATGAATACCGCGTTGGCAATAGCTGTCGTCTCTTATGCCATATACTTGTATACTCAAAGTCCGGTTGTTAATCTCGGCAAGGTGCGTCCTTTATCGAATTTAAGTGACGCCACCTCTCAATCAAAGACTAAAGAGAAAGAAGACAGGCGCAAGCTACTGGACGAACAAATCGACACCGACTTGGAAATGGATATCGTTTAATTATATGTAGATATTAATTTTAAATTTAAGCCACTGTATATAAGTATTTGTGTTTTTTTTTCTGAAAAGTTGAGTAATAGGAACGTGCAATGTTTCTTGTATATAATACTTCCGTTCTAGATAATATTCTTACTTTAATACAACTAAAGAGTCAACTCCCTTTATCAAATATAGTTTCTGAATTGATAAGCATTTAACATACATAACTCAAACACATTTTTATTTCCTCTTTTTTCTTTACATCATAATATTTAGCTTCCCCTTATTCAGCACGTGGCGGTGATCTACGAGCTTGAAGAGCCTCTTGTAAATATTCGTATTCATGGAATTTTTTGTAATCTGCACATTTTTCCAAATGCTGTTCCATGAGCTCGCCTGGCATGCGATGCGTCGCATTATATTTGCAAATCTCTAAGGGGGGTCCCATGTAATTGCGCATACACTTTATTATGTGGCCGGGCATCCTATAGAGCAATATGCGATGCGACTTATTATATGGACAAATGCCGAATTCCGAATCACTCATTGTGATTCCCTAAATTTAAAATAAAAAGTTCATTTAATTGAAATTTACAATTGTATTGAAAATGGTACTACCAAAATTGAAAGTACCGCTACTTTGTATCTAGAGATGGCTTTTGATTTTAAGCGCAATATTGGCAGTGTGATTGTTAATCATGATATCGATAGTAGGGATGAGATATAATTGAGTATATCACGATATGCCAATAATAAAGCCAGGTACAGCCAGCAGTACATATCACAATGCTTTAATGACGTCATCAACGATGAGTCACGTACACAACTAATGACAAATATATGACATGTTACACCAACAATTGAAATAGCAAATGCTGTAAAACAGTCTTTAACGCTCTAAAAGTGTCATAAAACTATTGTACTACCATTATAGAATAATTTTTTTGAATTTGAAAACTTTCAACCTAGGATTTTAGAGCAGCGCTGGTAGAGGCTAAGACTGCACTAATAAATTTAAGCATATATCTATCTCTTGTTATAAAGGAATAACTATTATTAAGTAATAACTATTTTTTATATATCGAGATTTGGACATGAATATTGTATGCTCCCTAATGACATACGAATATACGCTTAGATAATTAGTTACGATAGTTTTCTAATTCATGATTCCATCACTATCGATACTCCTCGAATAACGAAAATAATCCAGCAGTATCGACTCCGCCCGACCCCTTCACCTATCATTCATTGAAAAGTTTTCGTACAGTTCGGACGTCGCTTTACCCGTGAGAAAAAGTGCTCTAACTGATCAAACTAGTGAAAAAAAAGGAATTTTCCACTTCGAATAATGGCACGTACTAAGCAAACAGCTCGCAAATCGACGGGTGGCAAAGCGCCCCGCAAACAATTGGCCACCAAGGCGGCCCGCAAATCGGCCCCATCCACTGGCGGTGTTAAGAAGCCTCATCGCTATCGCCCTGGTACCGTGGCATTGAGAGAAATTCGTCGCTACCAAAAGTCCACAGAGCTGCTCATCCGCAAGTTGCCGTTCCAGCGCTTAGTGCGTGAAATTGCCCAAGATTTCAAGACCGATTTGCGTTTCCAGTCGGCAGCTATCGGCGCATTGCAGGTAAATTGGCGGGAAGTGGAAAAAAAGAATTATGTCTGCAAATGTGGGAGTGCGGAGTGGGGGGTGTTGCATGGAGTGTGGGGCCAATTTCGTGCCATCATGTAATGAGTATTTTGAACACTTTTCCATTGCAGGAAGCATCCGAAGCCTATTTGGTTGGCCTGTTCGAGGACACCAATTTGTGCGCTATTCATGCCAAGCGTGTCACCATCATGCCCAAGGACATTCAGCTGGCCAGACGCATCCGCGGCGAGCGCGCCTAAATGCCATGTCCGCCATCTTTAATTAGAAAAGCGGCGCAGTTGCTGTCGCTGTTAACAACAACAGCAACAAAGACAACGCCGACGGCGCAGTCAAACGCAGCAGCAGCTGCTGCTGTTTACAAACAACAACAAAGACATCAACGTTGGCGTTGGCGTCGGCGTCGCAGCTGCTGCGTCTGCTTAGTCTTAAGTTTCATAAGATTTATTATACTTAAAATATAAGTAATTCATAACTCGTAATTTGTCGCAAAAATTTATGCAAAATTTGTCGATCCAATAAAAATACATTTATTTGTTTTCTGTGTAAAACTTAAAAGCAGTTTTTCTTTTAATTTATTTTACTCAAGTTTTCAGAATGGGTATGATTTATATTTGAGGGTTGTTTTTATGCTCTAAAACAGCAAATGCAATTTTTATTTAAAGACAATGGTGTCCAACATAGCTCCCAAGCACTGTACAATATTATTCTGCATGACCTTATCCACTTTCTCCTCCAAATGCCGTTTCGGGTCCTGTTTGCCAACATTCTTAATCGCCAGCTGCTCGGGCGTCATTTTCTCTTCGTCCTCGAGAGACTGGAAAGAGGGGGAAAATTCGAGAATGAGAAAATTATATATTGCAAAAATATTGATGCAATTGATTTATCTATGATAAATTCAAAATTTTTCTAGTATCCATTTCCATTAAAATTATTTCTATTATTCTATTATATATTTTATACCATTCTTATATTGTAATCAATAAAATGTAATAGTAAATGTACAAATGTAATAATATGTACATTTATTATAAATCTATAATTTATGATAAGGGAAGCATTTATACATAGATGATTAATATATGACAGCTAGAAGATAGCTTAAATAATTCAGAGTGCATTAGAGATCAAAATGATCGAAAGGTAACCAAAAAATTAATTACATAGACTAAGTCTAATATCATTTCATAGCTTTGATTGATATAGAAGAAAATTCATTTGTTAGAGCGAGACAACACGCAAGTCAAATCAAAAATAAAAAGCAACAATTACTGGTTCATTTTGGGTGCAACAAAAATAAAGCTAGTTCAAAGGAACAAATTTCAGAACTTTTGCGGCTTTTAAAGGGCTGCAGTGAACATTTGTTGTTGCGTCAAGAGTTGCCACCTGACAAAAATAAAACAAACGTGCAAGGCTGCCAACAAAATTTGCAATTTTGAAAGAGTATGCGAAATTCGCTATGCAAAAATTAAAATTATTTAGAATTGTTTAACAAATTTGTAGCTCACCTTATTATAGTTCTTGGCCAAATCAAGCATTTCGGCTACTGTATCCTCATTGATGGAGCAGTGCTCATTGTAGTCAGCCAGTGTGAGACCATCCTTCCAGGACTTTTTGTGCAAGTTCAAGAGCATTTTCTGTTCCAGCTCGTTTTTGCGATAGTTAATGCTGATGGAATAATAATGACGATTCAGACCATGGATCAGTGCCTGCACCGACGGTTTTTGCAAATGGCCCAAATTCGAGGTGGTCTGCCTGGGCTCCTGTCCGAGCACCAACATATTCGGGTTGATTAGGCGGAAGGCATCGATGACCACTTTACCCTTGACCGACTGTATGGGATCGACGACAACGGCCACGGCACGCTCGGACAGCGCTTCGAAGGATTGCTGGGTATTGATATCCACGCCGGACAACCAGCACCCGAAGCCCGGATGCGAATGGTACCAGCCGACAACCATTTCTGGTCGGCCTGTCTGCTTCAACATGTCCAACATCTTGGCCTGAAAGACAGGGTCGACGGCCTCAACACTGACTCCCGTGCCCGTTTGTGGCATGGCGAACACATCGATAACCTGCACCGTGTAATCGTCGACAAACTCGCCCAGCATCAGGCCCATCACTTCCATGGGCACTCCAGCGCGGCCGTGCTTTAGCATCTTCAAGAGCGCCAGAGATGATATGTACACCTGCTCGGCGGTGTCCACGACGGGCGCATCTGTTGGGGGTGCAGCCTGTGGCATAGCGCCGCCTAAACGTAGCAAACGATCCATGATTCAACTGCAAAATAAATCCTTAAGCTGTGAGTAAGAAGAAGGAAAGCAAGTCTACAAGAAGTCTCACTTACGCTGTGGGTATTTTAACAACGGGTGTTTGTGAACTTTTTGTTTTTTAAGTAGAATTTTGCTGGCAGCAACAACAAACACAAAGCAGCTCTTGATTTTGCTTTTCGTTTTTTTGACAGTCAGCGTCGGCAAAGTGCAAGTAATACTTGGCCTATCGATAACTGTGCTCAGAGCAACACTGCCACAACAGCTGACTGAGTGACCAGCTGCATTTATCGAATACGATAGCGATAGTTAACTGAAATGTGGATAAACTTGAGTAAATTTAAAAAAGCGTAATAAAATTAAAAATGTGTATATCTAAAGAAAGAGTGTGTATTATAGTTTAACTCTTTAGCATTGCATTTAGAAAGAGAGGCACTTCATGTGCTCCTTAGGAGAGTTGCAATGCGTTCCGGTTGAGCGGACGCTAGTTATGGCGCCAACTTCTTTGGCCAGCCCATAAAAACTGTAAATGCCATGTGAAACACTTTAATGGGGTAAGTGAGAAAAGCCATTGTACTTTAGGTCAATTAATTAGCAATTGCCTTTCACCTAGTTTAACATTTTAAAATGCCATCCGTTGGGCTCGTCGCTCGATTGCAACACATTTCTACCATTTACTACTCCATTTTCTGTCTCGCTTTAGCTGGGGCAGCAGCCCGCCACCGCCACAGCCGCAGCGGCAGCTTGAAACTGTTTTCCATCTTCAACAACAGCGTTTTCCACATTTTCAGTTGCACTTTGTCGTTCGCAACACGCGTTGCTCTTCGATCAAACGTAGACTTTGTTTTCTTCTCTTTATGGTTATTGTTTTTGTTTTGGCTTTTTGCCATTAACAATTAGTTTAATTAAGCACGCTAAGTGCTTGGAAAATCGTTTGTGCAATATTGCCAAATCAACGTAAAAACAGGTAAATAATATACATAAATTGCCATACACGTTGAAATTATTTACACTTTTCGCTGAGGCTGTCAATTGGCTCGATTGCCTCTTATCAGAGGCAACAACAAAATTGTTATTTTTGATAAAGCTACGTGGGAGAGTGAAAGAGAAAATGAGAGAGCGAGTACTGCGAGTGTAAGTGAGCTGCAATGCTTGCACAGGCTTTATTTATTTATATATTTGGCCCATATTTTATTTTGTATTAAATTTTATATTTATTAAATTTTTGTTTTGATTTTCATTTCTTTAAATTTGTATATCAATTTAAAATTTTTTATTTAATACCTCAGAAAAATAGTTCTGTATTATTTATACATATACTTTTATAATTTTATAAGTTTTTGTTTTATTTATTTACTTTTTTATTTATTTATTTATTTTTATTTATTTTTTTTGTGAATGAACTCATTTTTTTCCGATACTTCTCTTCTTTCCTTATGTATTTTTTCCGTTTTTCGTTTTTACCTCCAAATTTGTATTTTCTACTGTATTTCTATTTTCCTTTATTTGTGGGCGTTATTTCTCCAATTAACGCTGATTGCGAGTTTTTTAAGCTTACGCTTCAATTCACATACCCCAAACTAAAACCTGACTTTTTGAAATTAATGTAAGAAGAAGACGAAAATACGTAAAACCCGCTATCTTCAAAGATTCAATCGAGATGCCAACACGTTGCAATCCATATCAAACAACGACCTTGTCTTGTCGTCGGGTTCAAAGAAATGCGTTGCAAAGCAATTAAATGCTATCGACAGTAAAGGTGGTTAAAACATAATACAATTACAGTAGAGACTGACTAGTTGGTACACAATTTAATAGATATTTTTTAATTTTAAATAAATCAAAGCTAAATATATTGAATTTCGGTACATTTCGTATACAAGCGTGCGTTCGTCTTAATCAGTCTTCACTGTACGAGCAAACACATGACAGCAAACCAATTGAAAACGCTAACTAAAATTTTAAAACTTAACAATTTGTAGAAAACGAGTGAAAACGTTGCAATCGGGCATGACTGACTACGCAATACGCGTTCATAAAATATATAAAAAATATAAACTAGTAAATTAGAAAATATATATCTTAGTATTTACAGAATTTTGTAGGCTATATATCTCCAAACTTAATAAGCTAAGTCTTAAACTGTGATAACTAACTTCTATAAACTAGATTATAGAATTCTATAGAGTTTATAGGTTTGTCTAATTTGATTAGATTGCCAAGTCCGCCTAAGACATACGCTCTAAAATCTGAACTATATCTAATTTAACTATATAGATACATACATATACAATGTATATACAGATCTCCAACTACTGCTTTGACTTCAAGCAAACAGCTTAAAATTGCCCAAAGCCAATATACTCCCTTTGTTTCCTGGGCGCGTATACAAAACAAAGGTAAAACCACGTTTGTTCAGCTGTAAAATTGACCTTTTATGGCCCTTGTTGGTGTCGTGGTTGTTGTTGTAGTTGTAGTTGTCAGTCAGCGAAAGATATAAGCGGAAATAATTAAATATAATCGCTGGAGAAATGCTGGGAGCCGAACTGGAGCAACAGCTAATAGATCCAAGAGTCTAAGACTAAATCCACTTAATAGAGATTTAAATGGTCTCACTGCACCAATTAGTCTTAAGTATATTGGTTTTTTAGATCAATATCATTTAACAATTCTTAAAGCGTTTTTAAAATGAACATTTTCATTTTACTCTGTTTTGTTTTCAATTTCTTGATCGCTTTATCATAATTATAGTCGTTTATTGCAGGGAGTGAAGCGAGTATATTGGGTTGTATACATAGGAATTGAACCCTGAACTTTATAATGGATTAGAATTGTATAAATTATACGAAAATCTCTGTATAAAGCTTTGCTTTGTAATGAAATTTTAATTTCATTTCAATATCTTATGTACATTCCTTTTTTATGGAAATGGAGTTTTTCTTCTTCTTGCCTCTGTCGAAAAGTCTTATATCAAATATCTGCAAGTTTCCACAGAATGTTGCAACAAATTTTGAGCGATTGCAAAGTGTTTTCTAAGCGTGTGGCAAATGTTTCCCACACAGATCGCATTTCAATATGATATATGATTTACAAAGAAGAAACTCTAAAAGTGTAATGTAATTTAGAACAGTTTTGTTTTTGCAAATGAACTTTGATTTTTCACTCAAATTTAAGCGAAGTCAACGGAAAATGAGTCGAGGAAATCAGTTTTCAAAACATCTACATAAAACATTAAGTATAAATTATATATATTTATTTTGTTTTAATTTCAAAGAAAAGTAGATAAGTAACTTTTCCAATTGGGCAGACCCAAATGGGCGGGGCCGGGGTAATTTGTACAGTGTCTGCAAATGCGTGTGCACAGCTGGTTGTGGATAAGCCATTGGCCTTGAGCTTTGACGTAACTAGAACAAAGCTGCATAGTCATAGAATATATATATATATACATTGTATATATATGTATATATCTATTTTAGCTGAGACAACAACCAGATGGGCAAATAACAGCAACAAAAATAATGGGAATTTCATGATTTGCCGCCAAAAGCTGAGTGCAACATGCAAGCGCATCTCCAATTTCACTTTCTATGGCACTTGGTGGGGAGAGAGAGCGATAGAGAGAGGGGAGCGGGGTATTTAGAGGGTTGCCAATTGGCCATATTTGCTCATTAATTTGTTTTCCAGCCATAGAAAGTTTTTAATTACGCGCGAGTGTTTAAGATAATGAAGCATTTAAAATGGTTGCTCAAATTTGTTTTGTTTTTTTTTTTTTTTTCTTTTTGAAAGTGCAGCAGCAACAATTGCATTAATTTGCATTATTATAATTTCACTTTTTGTTTTCTATTTACAGCCACACAGTAGCAGCGTCCAGCGATGACGTCATTGCTGCCTCCACAAACCTCTGCAATGGAGCAGCCAACAGCAGGAGCAGCAGCAGCAGCAGCAGGAGCAGGAGCAGGTGAACCTGCAACAGGGACAATAATGTCAAAAAGAGCAGCAACTGTAGATGCAGACACAGCAACAACTTCAGTAGAAGCAGTTAGAGCAACAACAATAGCAACAGCAGCAGTAGAAGCAGACACAGCAGCAACAGGAGCTACAGCAGCAGCAGGAGCACTCGAAGCACCAACCACGAGAGCAACAGAAGATTTACCTATTGCAACAGCAACAGCAACAGTAGCAGGAGCAACAGCAGCTATAACAACAGGGACAATAATACCAGCAACAAAAACAGCAGCAAAAGAAGCGGCAACAACAGTAGCAGCAGCAGCAGCAGTAGAGACAGAAGCTACAGCAGCAGCAACAGAAGCTTTACCTACTGCAGCAGCAACAGTAGCAGGAGCAACAGCAGCTATAACAACAGGGACAATAATACCAGCAACAACAACAACTGCAGCTGCAGCAGCAGCAGTAGAGACAGAACCTACAGCAGCAGCAGGAGCAGTCGAAGCACCAACCACGAGAGCAACAGAAGCTTTACCTATTGCAACAGCAACAGCAACAGCAACAGTAGCAGAAGCAACAGCAGCTATAACAACAGGGACAATAATACCAGCAACAACAACAACTGCAGCTGCAGCAGCAGCAGTTGCACCGCCAACAACAGTAATAGAAGATTCAGCAACAGCAACATCAGCTCAAGCAGCTGCAGCTACAGCAACCACAACAACAACAACAGCAGCACCAATAGCAGTTACACCTAGCACAACAATAATAACAACAACAGAAACAGCAGCAGCAACAGCAGAAGCAGTTGCAGTTACATCAACAACACGAAGAGCGCCAGCACATGCAGCAACACCCACAACAATAACGGCACCCACACGCATACCGCAAGCGAGCAGCGCTGCCCCTGTTGTTCCATTTCGTCGTTCCGCTTCCATGCGCTTGCGCGGCTCAAAAGGCACAGGCAATGTTGCTGCTGCCGCTGCCGCTGCCACTGCCACTGCTACTGCTGCTGCTGCTGCCGGCGTAAGCCACAGTACGCGCGCTCATCTCGACGGCAGCACAACGAACGGCAGCAGCAGCAAACCGTTATCCGGCGAAAAAATTGCAAAATTCGCGCATTATCGCAGCTGGAGCAATTTGGGACAGCGTCAACCGGGCAAAGCGGAAGCAGGGGCAACGGCTACGGCTACGGCAACTGCAACGGCAACACCTTCCCAATTGGATGAGACTCGGCTTCATGCATTATGCCTGGCTTTAACAGAGCAGCCAACTGAGCTGCAATTCTTGGCCAATATGGAAGCCAAGTCGCGTAATATGGTGAGTACCTTTGCTTACTTCAGTATCTATTTCCGCTGTGGGTGGCACACATTTCGGTATCGATTATTTTGCCTGTAAACCGCCCCTGCCTGCATTTCCTGCTGCTTGACCTATGAAACGCAAAAAGTACAAAAACCTGGACACAAGAAAAAAAAAAAGAAGAAAACCCGCCCCCAACAATTGCGTACGTAATCGACGTCAAAGGCTTTTCGTGTACAATTCGTAGCTCTTCTTCATTACGAAACGTGAGGACAACCCTGTTTTTGTGTGGAGGTGAGCGGGTGTGTGTGTGTGTGTGTGGCAGGCATAACAGCCCCGCATTTGCATATTAAATGCTTTAAAGCGGGTCGATGGGAACTGTTGGCGCATTAATAATTTAAACACTTCAACATAACTCGAAGAGTGTCTAAGTTCTATTCTAGATTATCGTTGTGGTTTATATATAAAGAATGTATTATAGGGGTTTTTGAGCTAAATATACATATATACTACATATATATGCATGAGTAATATATGTACAACATATGCATGTTAAAGCTTACTGAATGGTGTAGGTAATATGGAGGGATAAATAGACGAGAGTTAGATTCATGGGCGGAAAAGGTTGTTAAGACTAGGATATGGATATGGATATACCATCGACCCTTAACAACTCCGTTGGGAAATTCAAATTGAATATTAGTTTATATAATCTTTAGATGTATAAATGTGAATGAGTGTTTAAATACCTCCTTGCCTTAGCCGAAACAAAGATTAGCAGTTCATTCAATATCCGTTAGTATAGCCAAAGTATCGTATAGAATCTAAAATAGTTTCTCATCGTTTTATAAAGTATCAGATATAAGTTATAGTAACGTATAGTATACTAATTTCTGAATCCTTCCAAATTTCCTATATATATTGTGTACATATGTATGTATGTACATATATAAACAAATATACATAAATAAATATAAATGTCCTTGGCTTGAGGCTTTGAACTCTTATTCACTGATATTCATATTCATAAATTGTATTTGTAATGCAACCTAGATATAATACAATAATTATCGTATTATTGATTTAATTACAATTACTTTGTGGCCAGTTAATTATAAGTAGCTTAAATTGATAATCAATTGGTTTTACACACATACTTAATTACCTAACAATCTCATTAAAACTGTACATGTGCACGACAGTTGAACAGCCATTGTATTGGGTCAGTCACTTTCAAAGCTTTTGCAGTTTGGCAATCTCCGTTGCTTGTTTGTATTTATTTGTGTTTCGCTTAGTTCCCGTTTGCATAAACAATGTGAGACGAAAAGGAAAAGGCCGCTAGCAGCTGTTTCAATTCCACTTCCGCTCAGTTTCATGTCGAAAACAAAAAAAAAACGAAAATCAGCTGAGTTGTTCGTCCCAGAAGGAAATGCAGTGCGCGGCGCAGCTTTTGCAAATATTGACAGGAGCCCACACACACACACATACGCCCGTTTGCAGACGAACTCGTAGAAGCTTACATGCATGGACATGCACTTGCTTTTCAACCACCTTACCACACTCACACTCACTCTCTCTCTCTCCCTCTGACTCTCTCTTCACTTCTCCTGTAGTTAAAATCTCAGCTGCCCGCTGGGAGGGTTCGTTTTGTTTTCGTTTGTTGTTGCGGCTGTTCTCGGCTTCAACTGTTTTTCGTTTTATTTTTTGGCATCTTCTTCATTTCGGTCTGACCCATGCGATTTGCGTTTCAGTTGATTTTTTATGCTCAACGCGAACGCGTGCAAAAGCAAAAGCTCTTCGCTCTTCCCTTTCCATTTCCATTTCGCGCTTTTCGCTTTGTTATTGTTCCATGGCAAATCATTTGGATTTTCCGTGTGAATGTCTTTAAGTATGTGGTGCCTGCGCTTACCGTTATGTTGATGTTTATATTTGTGTCGCAGCAGCGTCGCTGTCCATTCTCGTAGTTGTAATTTAGCGACAGCAGCTGGTGGAAAGGTTTTCGTACGGCTGTGCTTCGAAATGTTAATAATAAATGAAAGGGGCACTATTAAGACACTCGTATTGCCTATAATTACAGTTCGTTGGCCCTTTTGCATAAATTATCATTATTGATATTTGTATGTGAATTTGTGTATGTGTGCTGCAGCAAAATCTGAAAGGCTTTTGAAACAAATATTTAAAATTACCATCAGTTAGGGATTTTTCACGAATACAGGGAAATATTTGAACTGCTACCTAAGGAAAAAGTGTAAGCGGAGTGTAAATAAAGGCAATACGTAAATCTGTTTGTCGCCGAGAAACCTGAAGACTTCCTTCAGCTCATAAATGAAGTAGTAAAATCGTTCAAACCTAATGGGATTTTTTAAATATATATTTTTTATGTTTAAATATTTTCAGTAATATTTCATATTTGATATACAACTTTCTTGAGTGTTTCTTTGAAAAAAATCGTAAATATATGGGGTTTATCTTTATAGAATTCCTAGTTTCGAGTCCGTTTATATCATAAAATTTAAGTATGTATATATATAAGAAGAGATAAGAAATGCACCTGCTTATATAATGCATTTCCTTTAAATACTTCCACATTTTTTCGACGACCCTGAAAGCTTTGCCAAAAAAAAATAAAAATAATGAAGACATCCATAAAAGTGCCGCAAAATTGAAATGATATAGCTGCATATGTATATATGTATGCATATTGATGTAGAAATAAATACATATATATGCACATACATATGTATGCACTTAGCTACAAAGCTATCTTGGCTGTTGGCCAAGTGGGTTATTTTGACCATTGTGGCAGTTGCAACGAGACAAATGCAGAAATGTTTCGCACACCTGAGCAGAGCTCTAGCCCGAACAGCACTCAAATCAAAAGCATCGATTTTTCTAAGGAAGAAGCAGAGAAATGATAAATACTACCCATATGAGAGTACATAGGTTGAATTGCTGGGACGTGACTGTAGTGGACCTTTAATTGAATAGTAAGACGACGCGATGGGAGGGGAGGAAATGTCGGTTATGAAGTGCGTAAGCATAGCATTTGGGACTCTTCTCTTATAACAACATAACAACATTAGCCCAGTTAACGAACGGGTCAGTACACTGAGAGAAAACAGCGATCAGTGCATATCTTTGTTTATCTGTATCTGTATTTGTATTTGTATTTGTATCTGTATCTATCATTGTATCTGCATTATTAATCTTTTTATTTCTATAAGAGTATCTATATGTCATATCTTTACTTTTGTATCTGTATCTTTATTGTCTTCTGACTCTGCATCCGTTACTGAATGAATTTTATCTCCATCTTTATCTACATATGCATGCAGCTCTATCTCCGTCTTTATCTGAATCAGTTTAAGTTTAAGCTGGCCTCTGCCGCATTTCCATCCTCTTCTTTTTCAATGGCATTCTCAATGCACATTAATCAGCATTTTTTCTCACTGTGTAAGACTACTCACACCTCTGAGCTTTGTTTTACTTTTTGTTGTATCTTGTCTCTTCTTTTTATGTTTTATTAAAGCAGTTGTGTGCTGTTAGCTCGTGCGTAAAGCCCATTGCGAGAATCTTTTGTGGAAGTACTACAAAAAAAAAAATAAATAAATAAAAAAAAAAACAAATAAAAGATTATTTCCCAGTAGTTGAACAATTAAAATAGGGCAAGAAACTCATTAATGATGATTATGAAATATGCATGAGGAACGTGCTCTGTACTGTGTGCTGTGTGCCTCCCTTTCTAACTGCGTCTAACCCGATTTGCAAGCCACTTTCTGTTGCGGCTGCAATTGTAATTGCACTTTGCAGTTGCAGTTGCAGTTGCATTTGGCTATTATCGCTGACAATCGCTGAAACGGCCCAATGACGAGTTGGCCCAGTGACTGTCCCGCCAGCTGGCGAAGGCGACACTCATTTCTAAATCACATTTCAATTCGCTATTTGGGCCAGTCACAAACTGCCAACTGAAGCGTTTTCTTCCCTTTCCCTCTGTATATCTCTCTCTCTCTCTTTCTCTGTCTTTTTTTGCTCTGACTGTTTCTCTTTTAAAGCTATACCTGGAAATAGGGAAAAGGGGTTTACTTTCTGCATTATATCATCGCCGTTTGCAGCACGTAATATGCTTAAATGAAGCAGACTTAAGTGCGAAAGCAGCTTTCAGATAAATCACATGTACTTAACGCATTTCAAGTGTACCTTGCTGTGGTACATTGGTCTAACAAGTGAAAATCTCCATCATTTGCATGCGCTTGATAAAAACCGATTTATAAATGAAAAGCTCTATAATGTAGGTACATTGGTCTGTAGTGAAATATAAGATATTTATAGTAATCAAATGCCTTTTAATGTACCTTTTCTGATATATTGTTATATGCATTGTTCTGGACTAGCTAGAATGTACCAAATACATGTAAAGTGTACCTTCATACGAATTATATTTATTAAATAAATATGAAAGCCTCACATCGATAAAGTTGATATATAGCTATATTATATATAACTCGGAGTCTTATGAAAGATACTACATATGGTGTACCAAAAGAGAATTTCAAGTGTACCTTCGTGTGATAAATGTGTGTAAATCGAGGGAATCAACCTAGGGGGGAAATCCTAGACAGAAGAACTCTTATATGAACTGAATAGAGTGCACTGAATTCGTTTAAAATGTACTTAAACCTTATATCTTTTGTGGTACATTTCTGTATTAACTGATTTGCTTGCATTCGTGAGTAAACTGCATTAAATAGGGATTAGGCTTATATCAAATTCGTGCCAGCTTTCATAAAGCAGGTGTGGCAGGTGTTCATTTCTCCCAAACCAAACCAAACCACAAAAGCCTAGAAAAAGGAAATGAAACAATGGGAAATTGTTGGCATTTAGCACTAGGTTTAGGCTTATACATTTATATATTTAGTATATATATAGTCTATATAATCAAGTCAAGACGAGCGACTAGGCAGCTAATTGACCACAAAAATGTGGCAGGGTAGCGGTTGATGTCTCTGTTTCATTTTGTTGTTGTTTTGGAATGGAAGGAATGCCACAATGAAAGTAAGCAAAGAAGAAGAAGAAGAGAAGAAAAAAACCGACGGGTGTTTAAAATGTTTTGTATAATGTATAACAACAAATTGGTTTTGGGGCGTTACGGTAACTCTATCTTCAGCTCCAGCTTCAGCTCCAGCTCTAGCTCTAGCTCTAGCTGTAGCTGTAGCTGTAGCACTACCTTCAGCCCCTACTCCGTTCCCTCGCGGCTAGTTTCACGCTATCTTTTTTACGCGCTTTTTCGCGAACTATGCACGAGTGAGCATTCAATTGAGAGATTTGGCTTGGAACAGCCGCAGCGAGCGATTAGCAAAGGCAGCGAAAGCCAAATTAAGCAGTTTGTATCTTCAACAACTATTTCCATTTGCAGTCTTTAAAGCTGAACGGCGGCAGTGCTGAGACAGCTGGCAACGCAACGGTCACGGCCACGTCCACGTCTACGTCCACACCAAAGACGCCGCAAACGCCGCTCAACGGAGCCCCATCCAATCACATTCATTGCAGCCGCTCGTCAAAGTCGCTGAACAGGAAACACGACTCCCTACCAGCATCGCTATCAGCATCAGCATCAGCATCAGCATCGGTTGTATCGGCATCAGCTGGAGGAAAGCTCTCCACAGTTCCCGAGACGAAGATCTCGCCACGGACACCGCCAGTGACACCGGATTCGCCTAGCACCTATCTGGATGATGATCTAGACTCGATGTACTCATTTGCGACCACAACATCGGGTCGTTCGACCATGTCCTGCGAGCATCCCTATGTGGCCAGGTAAGGTCTGATACAGAGATCTATTAGGTAAAAAACGGATAGTACTTGAAAGCTTATGGGAAAAACATTTATAATTTCCCTTAATATAGGGAATTTTAAATGTGCAATGCTCCAAAACTTTTTATCACAAAAAATACCTGAATATAATTTAAAAATTAATGGGGAAAACGATTGATAAATTTGTTCCCTTAATATAGGGAATTTTGCATGTGATATAGCCGATTATTTTATATGTTAGGATAACAAATACCTGAATATAGTTTAAAATTAACTTCAGGGAATTTTTAATGTGAATTGGTTTAAAACTTGGGTTATATTTTAGGATAACTAATACCTGAATATTGGGTAATTTATTTGTGTAAAAATAAAATTAACTATCATAAATAGGAAAGTTTTGGATCAGTTCATTTCGAATATGAGCAACAGGGAATATTTTAAGATATATTTTTTTTTTATCAGAAAATAGCTTGGAAAAATAGTTTATCGATATATTATATTTTCCAATTCAGATTGACTGAACATTTCCTTTATGCTTTACAGAAACGGTACCACCTTTAGTGGACGCAAAATGAAGTACGTGGTGCACTGTTCGAACTATGCGGGCCAAGTGGGCTCCGATTATCTGACGCCCACGCAGCGAGCGCAGCGTCAGATACGCCGCCTTAAGGAGCTGTTGAGCATAGCGCGTCAGGATCTGGAGGCAAAGGATACGGAAATCTTGCGTTTGACGCGCGAGGTTGTCGAGCTGCGCCTATTCAAGGCATCGCTGAGTTCGCCCGAGGAGCGTTCGGCCTCCTCGGATGCGGTAACGGTGCGCGAAGCCGACCTGAAGACCTCCCAGGACGTCTCGCCCATTGTGGACATGGTGGATGAGGCCAAGTGCAGTCCGCGTCATCTGGCGCGCCAGCATCAGCAATTGCACGCGATGCAAATGTCCACTGAGATGCAGAGCTCGTATGCCGACTCGGGGCACTTCGAGGATCTGACCATGTCGTCGGTGCACTCGAAGGACTCGCAAACGCAAAGCGATACGCCCGAAGAGGCGGCAGCCGAGGCCGCGGCGGAGGCGGAGGCAGCGGCCAGCCACTTGGAGAACTACGAGCTGCAGCGCCAGGAGCTGATTCGCATGTACGAACACCGCATCGAGGAGCTGATACGCACCCAGGACGGCGCCACGAGCGACCTGAAGCGCTCGCACAACGACAAGGTCGAGGCGCTGCTCCAGAAGCTGGCCGAGTGCAACACTCGATACTCGGACATTGTCCCGGACTATGAGCATGCCAAGCAGCGCATCCGCGAGCTGGAGAAGCAACTCGAGGACCTGCAGCGCAAGCTGGTCGAGCACGAGGAGAAGCAGAACAAAATGTACTTGCATATGTATCAGCAGGGGCAGGAGGCAGAGCGCATTTCGCGCGCCGATCAGGTACAATGAATATTGTGAAGAGACTCAAGAAAAGTAACATTACAATGTGGGAACATTGAGATCGGAGAGGGTTTGAGCTAACCATGCTTCGAATATGGGGAAATTTTGAGATTTCCTCATATGAATATTGGATTTTATGATAACGCATCCCTATTGCCTTATTATATAGTCACACCATAGTATGGGAAATGCTACCTTAAACTTGGGGAAATACTAAGATAAAAAATATTAGAATATGGGGAAAACAAATATCCTAGCAGTTAGAAGAGCCTTGTTAATATTAAAATATAGGGAAATATTGATATACTATATAGTACTATGCTTCTAGAAATTATATATACATTTAATTTGAATGACAATATTCTAATGTTCCATTCCACTGTTTCGCAGGCAATGGAACTGGCACAGCGACAGCCCGATAGCAAGGTGTCGATCAACGAGCTGCTGCATCAGCTGCAGAGCACGCAGGACGAGCTGGAGAATATTCGCGTAAGATTCTTCAATATCTTTCTAATATTATTTTCGGTTTTGTTTTGTGTGTTGCATTTTGTTGCATCATGAACTGAGCGACTCATACAACAAACACACTCCACACTCGACATATAACAGCAACAACAAGAACAACAACAACACCAACACACAATCAACAAGCAACATACAACATTTGAGAATCATTTTAGGGCGTGTTCCATTTCAATTTGGCGCTTTGCCTGGCTGGAAAAGCTGCATTTAATTGAGATGCGCGTCGACATTTTATTCGATTACATTTAGTTTAATTACAAGAAATATTTAAGCTTAAGTAACATAATTAATTACATCATTCTTTTTGGCAATATTCAAGTCGAAGCATTAAATGAGCAACATTTGTTTTTGTTTCAATCACACCGACGTTTTTGTGTTTCTTTGATTTGTTGCGCTTGTTTCATCTAATACCATTCCGTTCCGTTCCGTTGCGTTCCGTTGCGTGTTCAAGTAGAGCGAATTAAGTACAGTCACAACTTAGAGGATGAGTGCATGAAGTACAGTTGCCGCAAAAAGTCTTTAGTTTCCAATTTTACTATTATTTCCAATGCATGTTTTACAGTTATAACTTCTCTCTCTGTATCTCTCTATATATATCTATTGTCTATTGAAAAATTGTTTCAAAAAATGTTTAATTTAATTTTCTATATCTCTATATATATATTGTCGTGTAAAAAAAAAAAACAATCGAAAATCAATATCGAACAACAAAAATCGAAACTATTTTTGTAGGCATCAGAGTGTAGAATGAGGGAATGCGGCAGTAATCAAGCTCTCCTTACGGCAAAGGAGGCCATTTCTTTGTGGGTACTTGGCGCGCGTAAGGTTTGTAATATTCCTAAAAAAAAAAAAAAAAAAAAAAAAAACAATAATTTCTCTTTCCTTAACAATGTGTACCTAAATCCCCAATTAGTTTCTTTAATTTATTTGCAAAATTTTTGAGAACTAAAATTATTTTAATTTTATTTTCACTTTTCATTTTCATCTTCATTTTCTGATCATTGGCTAATGGAACATATTTTGGCAATTCATATTATACCTAACCTCATTCACATGTGCGCCATTTCATCATGCGTGGTAAAAGGTAAAAGGTGGCATTCTGGCGGAGGAACGAGTGGAATAGAACACGAAATGCAACAGCTGTTCATTTTTAGCTTGCTTCACTGAAACTTTGGTAGTTCACATTTTGTTTCCCTTGGAAACATTGCAGAATCCCTTCTATCGAGGTGGTGTTTACACTGGGACTAACAAATCCCGTCGATTTTCTCTGAAAGCATGCAATTCAGGTTATATTTCCCAAATACTGTAAGGACCCAATTCAGTTTGAAACATTTCATTCAGCTGTGGGGTTCGGCAATACGTTTTTGTTGCCTTAAATTAAAAGAACATTAATGTTTTTCTTTTAGTGGTAACGAGAGGTATGTTCTCTTCATACATGTATATATAATCTATAATACTTTATTACATAAACGAGGGTGGTCTAAAAACAATTGAAAGTGTGTATACATTCTAATAAATAGATCAAAATATACGTTACATTATGAAAATATAAAAACATATTTAAATATACATTACATTAAAAATAAAATAAAAAATAAATAAAAAATAATAAGTAAAATAATTTTTCCATGCTCCATATTTTTTTTTTTATAAATATGAATTTGTTTAGATTTATATTATTAGTAATTAAAAATTTATTTAAAAGAATAAAAATAAAACCAAAAATATATATTTAGCATATTATAATTATTAAAAATGTATTAAAACAATATAAAAGCTTTCAAGACTACCCTCTTTTATGTTTACATAATTTAGAATCTTACAAATGCTAGTTTTGTTAGCTGTTTCGTTGCTGTTGAGCAACTATTACTGAAAATTTACAGAAGTATAGCTATTAAAAGCCCAGATCTGTATCCATTACTTAACATATTTAGCATGTATTTCTCATATAAAGTTCCCATAGACTTCATAAACTCCACAATCTATATAACATTTCCCACCCGCCCAAAATTCCTACCTCAAATATATTCTATGTTAAATGTTCATATATCATATCATATATCTCTCTATATATATATAAATATATATATCTATATAGCACCGATGATTCAGAAAAGAATTATATGTAAATATTACAATTATTTTTTTAACCTAACCTCACATTTCATATATATGTATTTGCTTAAGCTTTTATATGTTTACTAATACAAAGCGTTTCTTATGCACTATCTCTCGCTCTCTCTCCCCCTCTCTCTCTCTCGCACACACCACCGACTAACTCAATAATCAATATAGACGATCTATCGACGTCTGTTGGAGGCACAAAAGAATCGCACCCGCGTCGATCCTGAAGTAACGCTGCAATTCCTGAAAAGCGCCATTTTCTATTTCCTAACGGACAAGGAGAACTCGCAGGGCCATCTGCAGGCAATCGAGAGCATTTTGGAGTTTACCGAGGAGGAGAAGGCGAAGATAAATCAAGCGCGATCTCCAAAGTAAATGGTCGTATATATATCTGTAGATATATATACATATATATATAATTAGTAGTTGTATGCGATGTGCCATGTAATTGTATGTCAGAGTTGAATATATAATTAAATTTAGATTTTAATTTAATTTTCATTCTTTTTGTAGAATTCGCAAAATAATGTTACATTTTTTTAGTGCAGCTAAATTCATTGTTTTGTGTCTTTGTTCAGTTCGCGAATTTATTTACAATTTTATTTTGTCATGTAAAATAATTTTGATAAATTAAAGACGTACCGTTATTTTTCGGCGGCAACAACGAAAAAATATTGTAAAAAAAAGAAATGGAGAAAAAATGTCGAAGCAAAATCTTAATAAGGCGCTTTTTTTATTTATACAATTCGTTTTAAGCATGATATGAGTACGTCCTATAGCAAATGCCCAGTGCATTATGAAAATAATATTTTAAATATAGAATATTTTAATGCAAAACAAAAACGGATTTAGTTTTTGGTAGGCCCGATTTGTCATTTGTAATTGGGCAAATAAGCAGAGTCATATATAGTTTTGATCGTGTTTCAGTGAAATTTTACTCATAATAAATGATATATTTATTAGTTAAAACTGTTTTATTGATTTTTTTTAATAATACAAAATGCTTTGTCAGAAGTAAACATTTTAAAAAGCGCGGCATAAAAACACAATCGATAAGTGCCAACAAATTTACTTTGCTCTTTTTTGCGTCAATAAGCGCGCATTTGAGCTCAGTGCGGTGAGTATCGATATGGATTTGTCGTAACAGCTGATTGAATTAATTTCATTAAATGTAATAAATAACAAAGGAAAATAGTTATTTCGTATTTCATTTGATAAACTCTTGTATTTAATATTGATTAGATTTAAGTTATGAGCAAATGTATAAGCTATAAATACATATGTATCAGCATATGGGCCGCGTGTTCCTTGATTTTCCCGCAACATTTACGTGGAGTGCGGTCATAACTTGCACTTGTTCACACTCTTCCATTCCAAGCAGCTGGCTACATGTTGCCAAGCGAAAAGTACCAGGGCTACAGCGCTGTCAACATGCTGCCAGGCAAGTTGTATCAACATAGAGCTGCTCTATCGATGTATCGATAATCAGTTGGGGTTTTTTCACTCATTCTTTTCTGATTCAACAAACGGTGCGGACGCGTGGCGTGGTCTGTTTTGTATGTATTTAATAAAATAAATAAAAAAACAAATTAAGCGCTTTTGTTGAAATACGGCGCGTACGACGTGTACGCCAGCAAAAAATACACGCGAAAGTAATTTAAATACAACTTACGCACACCCAAGGCAGCAGTCGAGCCGGTGCTGCGACAGCAACCCGTTTGTTTATAAAAAAAAAAATATTAAAAAATTTAAAAAAAGTTTTTAAATTTAAGTGCTTCAAAGTGAGTTAAATTTTGAAAAAAATAAGAAATTTCGCATTGTGAAGATTTGACAACTAATAAAAGAAAATAGGCAAAGTGCCACACACACATCCATACATAAACACCGCTATTATTGTGTGCGTTTGTGTTTGAGTGCGCAGGCACTTGATACCTACTACACGAAATAAGAAAGAGAAAAAATTACTACACACGCACACACACACCACTGATTGTAGTTGTAGTTGTAGAAAGTGCGTCGGGCGCGTTCTCGCATCCAATTGCAGCGCGTAAATAAGTAAATAATCCGGGCAAATCGCGTGCACATTTTATGCTCTGCCTCAGCTGCTGCTTCTAACATTTTCGTGTGCTTCACAGGAATTTCCCCTGCCAGAGACACCATCAGCGACGACGACTACGCAACTTTTAAGGTAAAAATAAAGCAAAGTTTTTCTCCTCTTTCCTTCTCTCTTGGTTTTTTGTTTAAGTTAATTTTTATTGCTAATCTCTTTTCGAGTGCGTTTACATTGGTATTTTTGTTGCATTGTCTTGAACTTGATTCTGATTGGAGGTCGCTCAATTAAACCGGTTCGCGGCTGATTTCTCTCCTCTCACCTCTCTATGCAACCAGATGCTCATCTCTAATTCAAGCGGTTGCAATTCAGCTTTTTGTTGGTTTTTCGCCTAAGTTGATGTTGTGTGTGTTTGTGTGTCTTAGTCGACGCAGGTTTTTCTTTTATCTGCTCGGCACTCATTTGCAGTCGCTTTTATCGTCGTTTGGGGGACATTGTAAATGCGTTTGTTTGCTTTTTTGCCTTCTCCATTTGCCTTTTATCAACTCAACCAACTGGCCGGCGCACAGTGGCACCAAATGCATTAAGGCCGCTTTTTGCGCTGTAATTAATGTTAAGTGCTCATCCCTCATCGCTTGCCCACCTGAGCGAGCAGTATCAAAGCGGTGAAATGGGGTGGGGTGGTCCGGTATTGTGGGAGCCTCTGCAAGTACTGGAAGTGCTGATTGCATTGCGAATTATTGCAGTTACACTTAGAGAAATACTGATAGACCAAAAGACACTGGAACTTGTACTTGTAAAGTTATTATATAAACTATTATCGTTATAAATATCTAAAAAATTATAAATATACCAATATCATGTATGTAAACTATCATGTTTACTATACTATACTATAGATATCACTTATAATTATATACTTGCAACTGCTTGTACGCCCAAAGTTGGATAAAATAATAAAGAAAAATAAATATTCTAATACATTCACAAAAATCCCCATATTATGTACTCTTATACTGCAAGTATAATTTCTAAGTGGAAGGTATAATTTCAAGGAAATTTCAAAATAAGTCCATATCACATATGCAAATATCGATAATAACTGTTATACAGGAATTTGGCCGAGTGTATGGAAATTTTCCGACTATAGCCAGCAGTTAGCCCGAAGTACTTAATTGCCTGCCTGGCCAGCTCTGCAGCTTTACCAGCTTTGCCAACTTGCCTGTTTCTCCAGTTGTTGTTGCTGCTGCTTGCTAATGCTGTTTTCTGACCAAATGAAGCTATAAAGTGGGCCATGGCGCACTGACCACAAGCAGATAACTAGCCACATTTAATGTGCCCCGATCGTTGTTGCAATGTCCAAAGTTGTACAAGAGAAAGCTATCAAAAGCGCGAAAATTCCCCTCAGAGTCAGGCACTAAAACTACACACACACACACACACAGATATAGAGACTACTACATGGCACCTGCAATAACAGTTAGTGCTACAGCAGCACAGGCACAGATGTGATGCTCTCTAAATTTCCCCACAGTCCAACTGCAGCTGTTTTTACAATACTGTGTAGAAAATGTCATTTGGTACTTTGCACATAAAAAATATGAATGAAATATGAGAACTTTACTAATTTTTAAAGCTCATTTGCCGTTAGAAGTTAGGGTATTAGCCAAATGGTTCATGGCAGATAAAAAATTATTAATTTTTTGATTGCTTTTGGCGTGTCATTAAAAATATGAGAAGCAAACGAAAATGGAACAGAATTGAAAGGCGAGAAAACCATTTATGTTAACATTCAAAAGCTTGCAGCTACGAGGAGGAGAAGGAGTAGAATTTGCAGTAAGCGTTGGGCGTTTGACTTTGTTTCAAGCCAAATCTAGCGGCTTGATTTTGATGAATGATAAATTTAGCTTTTATTCCATCGAATCTATGACCATAAATTTGGCTTAAGTATAATATATTTGCCAGACCTATCAACCAATTTTCACTAAAACATTTATTTTATAGCTAAGTAATGTATTGAATCTAAGCTAGCCTTATTTTTGGCTGCAAACTCGCTTCTTTTATTTCTGCTGCGCCAACACTGTTTGCACTTTACCGTTGCAGCAGGCGGCGCTATTCATCCTTTTCTGTTTTTGTTTCACTTCTCTGTGTGCCTTGTCTAGTTGTTGCTGCTTGATTGACTTCTCGTTGAGAAGGCCATCATCGTCATCGTCATCATCATAATCATCAACAACTGCTAGGGGCTCTCACAGAAAACGTTAATCACTTTCAAAGCTCGCACATTGCACATTTTTTCTTAAATTTTTTTGTCTTTTACTTGAGTTCATTTGTGCTTTTGCATACCTCTGTCCCTCTCTCGCTCTCCCTCGTACTTATAATGTGGTATTGCCTTGGGAGTTTGGCTTGGCCTTAGCTGCACGCCCGCAACAGCAACAGTAACAACAACAACAGCAGCAGCAGCAACAACAAATACGTTGTCAAGTTGGCGTCTGCTTTGGCTACAATTACAAGCATCATTGGCCTTATTTCTTTTAAGCTATTCTCGTCGYTATTGTTGTTGTTGCTGCTGTTGCTCTTACTGTTTGCTCTGTCTGCCACTCACACAGACACAGCCACTGCCACACGCACACAGTCATGCAACGACTTTTATCTACAGCTGACGTTGCCGCCTTCGTTTATTTGCACAGCTTTTACTCGACTTACTTTCTTTCCCCATCCCCACCTCTCCTTCGCTGAATCTTTGTTCTTGCTGTCCATTTGCTTCCGAAAAATGATTACGCAGCATTTTCAACTAGCAGCAGCCACTTTGTTACTTGAGAACTTTACTCAAAACCCACCCGCCCACTGCCCTCCTCGTTCTCTCTCTGCCTCTCTCACTTGCTCTCTTGCGACTTGATCACCAAAAAAATCGTTTTCTTTTGAAGTTTCCAAGCGCTCTTTTAGTTTCTATTTTTGGCGGACAAAAAAAAGTTTCACAAACGAAAAAAAAATTAAATTGAAATGTATAAACGTAGTTAATGTGGAGTACACACAAAAGAAACGACATTTTTTTATTGCCACATAATAATTTTTATTTTTTCATACAACGCGCTGCCGGCTGTCGGGTTTGTTGTTGTAAGTCTTTTACAGAGTGGCTAACGTTAACAGCTGTGACACTTTGTGTTATATTTTGACTTGCAATGTGAACGTGTGAGGGAATTTATAGCTATTTAAAGTTAACATAAGCAATAACAGCGCTTTAGTTGCTTAACATGGAAGCTAACATATACATGTTAATATGCAGTAAATTAGATTTAGATGTAATACAGATGTATATATTAACATATACATGTTAATTTATATGTAATGTATATTTGATAGATAAGTCTACATCGACTGAATTTTCTTTCTGAACATTGCTGACTTTAATTTACATTTGATATTCAGGAAACTTTCTAGTATATTATGACTTTCAGAATTATCAAAAACTTCTTGCGTATGTAAATATGCATGCACAGTTCACATTTGACATGACTTACTTCATTATTTATGATAATATGCTCTTCGAGATTTAAAATAGTTGCTTCACAGAGTCGCATTAGCATTGGGAATGTGCACACCGAGAGGGAAAATTCT